GCCAGGAGTCCAGGTGGTCCCACCTGAGGAGCTGGCTGTGTCTCCCCTCCCCCACGGGCCCCCGGGACCGGGTCCACCCCGCAGCTGGCACCGTCAGCGGGACAGGCCCAGAGAGGGCTAAGGGCTTGCCTAAGGTCACACAGCAAGCCGGGGTGGTGGAGCTAAGAGCAGAAACCAGACGTGGCTCGGCCACAACCGCGGGCGTGGGGTCTTCCCTAGGGAGCTGGCAGTCAGACCCTGGGGGGCGGGTGCCCGTCTGACGGGCCGGGACCAGCCCTCCCCAGCTCTGCCCTCTGCGTGGACGCCCATTGTACTCAGCACAGGCAGCGGTTGGGAAGGGGGGACTCACAGCCCCAACCTCTCTGCCCCCCGCGCGGCCACCAGCGCCCTGCAGAACAAGTGGGTGTTCCTGGCCACCTTCGCGGCCGTGCTGGGCAACTTCAGCTTCGGCTACGCCCTGGTCTACACGTCCCCTGTCATCCCGGCCCTGGAGCGCTCCCTGGATCCAAACCTGAGTCTGACCAAAACCCAGGCGTCCTGGTTCGGGGTAAGGGCCGCACTTTGAGCTCGTAGGGGCGGGGCAGGGGGTGGAGGGACCCCCTGGGCTCTGTCCCCAGCTAGGGACCCCCTAACACAGCCTTAGAGCCCCTCCAGGGCCCTGGTCAGGCTTTTGCCACACCCTCCAGGCTGGGGGTGGAGGGAGTGATGCCCAATGGTGCCTCTAAGTCTAAAATAAAAGGAGGAAGTGAGAAACAGTGGAGAAGGGTGGGAAGGGCAGGTGGGGAGGCGGCCCTTAAAGTCTCCACCCTGTGGGTTGAGGGTTCCCAGACCCCACCCCCTCGGAGCTGGGCTGTCACAGCGGGCAGACAACACATTCGCTAAGATAGCACATCCATGGGGTCCGGAGCCACCTACTATGTGCCAGGTGCATGCTGGGCACTTGCCCTGCTGGTCGACTCCAGGGCAACCCCCTGAGGGGAGCCGTCACTCTCCCCATCATGAGAGAAGCTCGGACAGACTGAGTGCCCGCCTCACTGGCCGGGCCCCCCTCACTGTGCTTAGGGGAACCCAAGGACCCCCGAACCTTAAAATCCCAGGGGCTTCCGATCCAGAGCCCTCCTGTCTGCTCCATTCCAGTTTTAGACATTGACACGCCCGGCTGGACGGCACCGCTGTGGCCCGTGCCCCCCTCCTCCCCAGAGCAGGGCTCCCTGTGGGGGGCTCCCTAGCGAATGGCCGTCCACATGCTGCTTGTGCGCCTCTGGCGACGGGAGGCTCACTGCCCTTCAGGGCCTGAGTCCCGCGGAAGCAGCTGTCTCTGGGCCCCGATGCAGGGCGGGCAGGGGGATGCGGTGCCCAACCACGCCTGCCCGCCTTCTCTCCAGTCCGTGTTCACCTTGGGCGCCGCGGCCGGGGGCCTCAGTGCCATGGTCCTCAGCGACCTGCTGGGCCGGAAGCTGAGCATCATGTTCTCGGCGGTGCCCTCGGTGGCCGGCTACGCGCTCATGGCGGGCGCCCGTGCCTTCTGGATGCTGCTGCTGGGCCGGACCCTGACGGGCTTCGCGGGAGGGCTCACGGCTGCCTGCATCCCGGTAAGGCTCACGGCTGTCTGCATCCCGGTGAGGCCGGCTGCCTGCATCCCAGTGAGGCCAGGCGGGCCCCAGGTGCCCTCGCAGCCCCGTGGCCGGCCGGCCGGCCTCCAGCCCACCC